GCGGGGGGCGAAGCGCGGGCTGCCGCCGGGCTCCACCCCCAGAGGAGCTTTGCCCGCACGCCTTGCCAAAAGCCGAGTTCAAAATAGGACTGTGCATCTCCTCTGCCCTCCAACGGGCTCTTTTTTAACTGTGAAAAAAAAAAAGACACAGAGAAAGAAGTGATGATATTCCCAAATTCCACCCGCTGGAATCCACAGCAGGGGGAGCAGCCTCGAGGTAGCGCAGCCTCTGATCCACCCTCCCTTATTGGCGTGGGAGCGCTCTACCTGCATGGGTGAAGGTGTCAGTTCACATCCACTGCAGTTCTTCATCGTCTGCGGGCATCTGAACTTACCCCCTCGTCGTGGAGGGTAATGCACTCCGAGACCAAGGAGTGCTACCGGGCGAGGCTCTACAGAGAAAGTCAGGATCTGTCCTGGGACGGGAGACTGTCTGGGGCCACACTCTGCAGCAGATGCTTTGTGGAGACTGGGGCCACACTCTGCAGCAGATGCTTTGTTTGCCCATGTAGCTTATGTCCCTGCCATCTAAGTGAAAGAGCCCTGAGTGGTTGCCCAGACCAGCACTCGCCTCCTGCCGCACCATCACAACACGGGGCACAGCCGTAGACTCAGAGTGCACCCAGGAGGGACCTGGCTCCTTGGGCAGCACATCCAGGTCCTCATGCAAAAGGAGGCACGGGTGGGCTCCAGCGCACAGCAGATACCCTGGTCATGGTGCTTGCAGCACTGTGTGGATGCTTCAAGCCGAAGCAACAGCAGAGCTGACAGCCAAGTGGAGCGGTTATAGGATGTGGGCACAGCATCCTTGTCTCAAGCCTGAGCTTCCACTAAGAGCAGAAACCTAGCTGGAGCACCCACACGGTGGAGAAAAGCAAAGGGGAAGCTTGTAGGCTTGGTACAGCAGTACATCAGTACAGTGACACAGGTCCCCTTGTAAGGGTTGAGCCTGGAGGCACCTTGCCATCGACAAATAGCCAGCAGCATTTAAAGCAAGGGTGGGAAATCGAGGCTGGTATTTGGTCAAAACCACCTGGAAGTGCTCCGCAGGCGAGCCCTGGAAAGCTGTCCTCCCCCTCCCTGTCCCCAAGCATTGCCGCACTGCCCTGCCTGTTCTTGTGGCACATGTCTTCGTTTATACAAAATATGTTAGCGAGGCTGATGAGGATTCGGCACGACTTCTGTTCTGGAGAGAAAAATCCTCTGTTGTTGTCTAATCTCATTTCTACACCTGCCAATTTCCCTCACCCCCTTCCTGTCCTCCTCGCCCTCTTCAGAGCACTAATTAATACATAACGGCCTTGGCCATGCCACGTCCACCGAAAATGTGCATTGAATTAAATGCTGTGCTTTCATGCTATCTAACTCATTGTCTCTGCTAATCATATCCTTAATTAATAGAGGTATTAGCTGTTTTTAAATGTGGGACTCCCAGTTGTTGGTTTTTTTTTTTTAAATTACAAGTTAGCAAGTTTTAAATGTGATCATGTCTTTAATTGCATAGAAATAAACCCCCATGATCCCAAACCCTTAATCTGCCTATTTTAGGATTTCTTATGGCTGCTTATCCTGATAGTAGAGCATCTTCCATGTGAAATCAGCTTTTTAAGGCATATCGAATTAGGTTCCAGATTACAGTCAGTTAAAAAAAAAATTAGGCCAAAGAACATAGAAAAATGTGTGACTTACCCAAAGGTATCCACCACTAGCTTTGTCAGAAAAAATCCACCAGGAGCTCTGACTCCCATTTCCTATGCCGAGCAGTTATCTACACCGATACAATTAAAGCCAAAATATTGGTGGTATTGAAGGATTATTTGACAAAGATTTTATTGTTGTTGTTGTTGTTGTTGTTAGGAAACAATCCTCTGGTAAGATGCTTTGAGGGGAATATTTTCCAGAAATTATTTCCCACCCCTATTATCTGGGCTGTTAGAAGCTCCAGTGAGTATTTCAGGGTAATGCTCCTAATGGAGTAGTAGAGGTTTTTAAATCTCTCATACACAGATCTCACCATTATTTTTTGTTCAGGAAGAAAAACAAGGTCAAAATTAAACCACATGCCTCTTGCCGTAGACCATCACCCCCCTGCCAAAGTCCCTTCCTGTTTGACTCCTGCACAGGTTTAAAGATAACAGCCTTTCAGACATCTCTGTAGGGGAGAGGGGCTGTGTGCACAAGAACTCAAAAACACTTTAATTATTAATAAATATATTTATACGAGAACAGTTTCCCTTTAGGGGAAACATGAGTTACTCATGCAATTACTCAGGTTATATTGACTCAACACTGTCAAAAAACAGGATCTAATCACGTTAATACAGGGAGTATAAACATCTATTTATTTAGCGGGCTTTATCTGCAAGGTAACCATAAAGCGCTCTGCAGATTTGGGAAGAAAGTTCGCCCTCGCATGCCAGAGATGGCCAGGTTTGACTCAGCAGCTCTCAGCGAACACTGGCAGCTGGCAGCAGGGCAGAGGTGAGGCGCTGCCTGTGGGATGGGCATGCGGGACCACTGCTGCCTTGATGCCCGTCGGCGGGGACCCCCTGGGGACTGCCTGCGCGCGGAGGCACGGAGGACTGGCTCAGGAGCTGGCACCTGGGAGAAGAGCAATGCACTTCGTGTCCTTGCTTGTGACACTGAGCGCATCGGGAAGGTTTGACTGGGCGGCATGGGCCGGCACGTGGAGCGGCCACCTCTCCTCTGCCCTGCATGGCCCTGCTGCAGAGACGAGCCCTGGGGAGCCAGCCACTGCAGAGGGGCTGCTTGGCGCCCCAGCAGAGGAAAAGCCAACACACAGCCTCAGCCACCCAGGAGCTGCCCCAGCTGCCGCTGTGCAGCAGGTCAGAAGGTCCCTCTGCTCCTACCCAGGCAGCCAGTCCTCTTTTTTTTTTTTTCATCTCCTTCACTCTTTGCCTCTAAGTGTGCTATTTGGGTCATTTTTCTATATGATTGCAGCGCAGGTTGGCAGGAGACCATAAGGTGCATTCACAAACGCTTAGCAGACACGTGTTTTGAATCCTTCTGGCTGCTCGCTTTCCCTTTCAGAAACCTATAGTGATAGAAAATGGCCATTGAATAGCTGTACTGGATCAGAGCAAGGGTCCAACTCATGCCTTCCCCATCCTGAGAGAGGCCGCTAGCAGTTTTCTGAGAGAAGAGGGTAAGAGGTAGGTGAGAGCGGAGCAGTCCCACTTGGTCTCCACCAGCCCAGCCCAGAGCCGGACAGGACAGGGCTCTCTCTGGGAGCTGAGGAGGCGCTGAGAAGCACTTAGACACAGAGAAATCATTGCCTGAACAAGAGCTGTTCCCTGATCACCACACTCATCTGATGCTCTCCAGTCCTGCCTGCCACCCTGCCTTTGTCCAGTCAGTTGTTAGTGCCTTGTGTCATCAGGCTAGATGCATCAGCAAAGTGCTCGCTAAGGCACTTCAGGGCACTCAGAAATAATAGAGGGCTTGGAAATAGACTGATTAGCAATCCTCGGTATATTTTTGGATAGGCGTGGACCGAGTCCCTGTTTTATTGTTATTAACCTGTATTGCAGGCACTGCTCATGGAGAAGGAGGCCAGATTGTCATTACTGTTATTACTAATGATTTAGCACACTGCGAGTCTGCTAGGTGCTTAGCAGAAAGATTAAGGCAAGGTCCCTTCCCGTCTGTCCTGGTTTCGGCAGTTAAACCACGACACCGTCCTTTAACCTAAGCACATGCTCTGGTGTGGTCTCAGGCTTCACTGCAAATGGCTGTAGCAGGAATCACACCAGCGCAGCATGCTCCGCTGCCACCCTGCTGCTGGCCTCCAACCCTGGTTTGAGCAAGGAGGAGAGGGATTTATGGG